AATTTATTATATATGCAGTCATTAAAATTACTTTTACCGTATATGTTTAATAAATCATTATCATAACTAGTATATAACAATATTACCTTATTAGATCGTTTAGCATCTCTAATAGATAGAATGTTATTGTCTTTAAAAGAGCGCTATTTGTTGCAAATTACCCTGTTCTTCCCGGTTTAATTTGTTTCGTTGCATTTATATAGGTAAAAACCAACCTCAAAGATATATTTTATTTACTAATATTATTTTTGTTTTCCACCCACTGTTCATTAACTCAATGGACATCTAATCGACTCATTAGGGATTTTCATCGCTCTGAAATATCTCATCAAATCATTGGGGGTCGATGAACATTTTTGCATTCCTCGTTCGAACAGAACGACCTGTTAATTCTGAATAAAAACGAGCCAAATTCTATTTCATGGAAGTTTTGAAAGTTTCAAATTGGATCTTTATTAGCGAATGATTCACCACCAATGTTTGTAAATCATGAATCAACAGTCTCGATGTCAGCTCTTTTGTTTTTATCATTTAAATAATGAAATTTGTTTTTATTTATTTCTAATCTAATACGCTTGAATCTAATAAAACCGTTATATTCCATAGTCTAACATATTGAATATTTAACTGATCTATTTTGTCTGTAATTAAAGAATAATATTTTGATTATTTTTGTAAACATAAGAGTGACTATTAAATATTATTAAATATTATTATAGTCTGAACTGACTTTTTTTTTTACATCAATTATTAATGTCCTAGTGGACTTGGCTAACTTTTATAGTGAATACAGTCCTTGAGGAATAAAACAGTTGACTTGATGGAATTGATAAACATAGGTACAATATTGATAATTACTGCAACGAAGAATGAATTCAAAGAAAACCCAAGAATAACGACTAATAATTTAAATAGGATCACTTCATCTATAATTATGCTAATGAATAGAACGATGGATATACCGATGACCAGACTAAAGAAATTGAAAGAAAGGGATATTGGTTTTTAATTGAGAAAAAACTAGAATATTGAAAAAAACACTAAATTCCGATAGACTGAAAGATATCTATGACCAGACGAAGGAAAATGAAAGAAAGGAGGTAATTAAATTTCTCGTCCGCCGGAGAGGTAAAACAGAAAGACCACCTGGTTTCGATTAAGAACTGAGATTAAGTAATGAGCTATTCCAGAATTCCAAGGACGTCCCGGAAAAAAAAATAGATAATATTTTAACGACCATTGAGGAAACAGATGTCTGGCCGTGAATTCGGTCGATTGTTAAGGATTGACTTTTTAAACAGACAGGTTTACAAAAGAAAATAGGTGAATTAAATTTCTCGTCTGCCGAAGCGCGAAAAAATTTCCCAAATCAAGGGATTATCTCCTTCTTGCCACTTGTTAACCAAAAGGTTTGACGAGGAGATAAAAATGATAAATTTCAGATGCGAAAACGACCACACAAAATATCACGATGAGAAAGAATTTTGAACGATAATTAAAATTTGGCCATTGGGCTAGACTACGCCTAGCCCTTGGGGAACGGGTTTGGTCAGGTGACTAAGGAGTAGAGAGTCCAGTTGGAATTTCAGGGAAGGCGGAGAATTTTCCACACCCCTCGGGAAGTGATGATGAGAGGCACTCACACAAAACAGGGAGGAGAAGGCTCAGGTAGAATTCCAAGGAGGGAACATTTGCAAGGAGATTGGTTGTTTGGGGAGCGCTGGCATAACCAGAGCACATAATGCTCACCCCCAGTCCTTACGCATGGGTTCATAAAAACAGAAATCCGAGACACTACGGCAGAGAGATTTATTCAGACACCGGAGGAGAAACACCTCCCGTGACATCCTATCTGAAGACCCCCTCCTACTGACATTTTGTGCCAAACTTCGTCAAACCAGCAAAGTGCCACGTCTAACTGAAGTAGCGGGTTGGGTCGAACTGCTAGATTTTGACAACGAACTAACCAACTATTGTACAAAGGAACATAGATATATTTTTTTTATTCAAGTGTTTACATTTCTTGTGTCTTCATTCCACTTGGACCAACCCAATACGAACATACCTAACGACGATTTGATCCTGGCTGACCTTATGATCAAAACTAATCACAATCTGGGATAAGGCAAGGCCTGGATCGAAGTGATCACCTTATTGATCAGCCATAGGTATTGGATTTGAACGATTGGGAGAAATTGAGGACGACAGATAAGTAGTAACAATAGTTCAATTATAATAATCCGTTTGCTCAATGAGACCTGGAATGTACTTGTCAAAATATTGCGATGAGATTGCATCATTAATTTATTCAATTATGCTTATTTCATTTCGTCAAGTGTCTTATTTAAGTCGTTGTCTTCGTCTTGATCCGTGTGCCTGGTAAACGAATCGTTTATATATATATATGGGATAGGTTGTAACGAACTGTTCTCAGCGTGGATTGTAACCCATTTTTTCTGGTGAACTTATTTATATCCAATTGAAACTTTAAAAAATCCAGGTTGTTTAAATTGTAACTCTCCTTTTATGTTACGTGACACTGTAGCAGTTTAAACTGAAACGTAGTATACCGTTCGCAGCACTGGATAAAGTCAATGAAGAAGTAGACAGACTTGTAAAAATAAGTGTAATTGAAAAGATTGACCATTCAAAATGGGCAGCACCAGCAGTTTATGTAAAAAGAATATAATGTTTGTGCTGATTTTTCGACAGGGTTAAACAAATGTTTAGAATCCCATAAATACGCATTACTAAGTCCAGCGGAAATGTTTGCGAATATAAACGGTGAAAATTTTTATCGAGCAGGACTTCGAGCTTGTTGCCCAAGGAAAACATCCCTGGTTAAGGCTAAACACATAAAAAGCAGATTAGTTTATGCTAAAAGTCATATAGAACATGTGAGTGAATACTTGAACTCTGTCTTATGTAAAATGAGGCCAAAATAGAATCATTTGGTCATATGAACTCTATATGGAGGTAATCGAATGAAGCTCACATACCAAAACAAATACCCTCCCTAAAATTAAGCACGGTGGCGAGGGTATTATGCCTTTTGGATACTTTCTAAATCAGGATAAATAGTAAAAGTACAGTGTATCTTGGATAAAGAACAGTATTTGGGTATTCTTAAACATAATATAAAGCAAAGTTCACGAAAGCTGTTTTAGGCGTGTTATTGGACGTTCCAATATGACAATGATCCCAAACACATGACACGAACTGTTAATGTTATGGGACCTTACCCAAAATAACATAATGGACTATTCCATACGTAATAAATATTGCGCTTCAAGAGGAAGCAGGGAGTTCAGCCTGAAATCGGACGACCGGCTGACCGGCTGATCGGTTGAACTCTCTGCCTTCGGGCGGGGAGGAACCCGAACGAGGCTACGCCGAAGGGCGGAGTCTCTTTCGGGGAGGTAAACCGACCCTGAACCCGATTATACGGGTTCAATGGGCATATTTTTGGCCGAGCCCACGGGCTCGGTGATCCCACGGGCTCGGTGATCTCACGGGCTCGGTGATCCCACGTTAAACCGGCCTTGTGCCACATGATGCCCTCGTGGGAGGGGGTGACTAAATACTGTTCAGCCTGAAGTCGGACGACCAGCTGATCGGTTGAACTCTCTGCGTTCGGGCGGGAGGAACTCGAACGAGGCTACACCGAAGAGCGGGGCCTCTTTCGGGGAGGTAAACCGACCCTGAACCCGATTATACTGGTTCAAAAGGCATATTTTTGGCCGAGCCCACGGGCTCGGAGATCCCACGTTAAACCGGTCTTGTGCCACATGATGCCCTCGTGGGGGTGTGACTAAATACTGTTCAGTCTGAAGTCTGAAGTGAGGTCCGTCAGGAGTCTGTCAGTCAGTCAGAGCGAGCGAGTCAGTTAGTCGAGTCATAGGCAGTCCGAAACAGAGTCGCTTTCAGACAATTACTACTAAACCTGATTGTTCGTACTAACACTTTCTACTTCTCTGTATATATTCCTGTTTGTAATATATCTGTGTTATTCCATATCCGTGTTCGAGTTCTTCTTTATTGGTTTTACCTTGGGCTATCACCGTGTTACAATGAACCGGACCATAACAGTTACTCCGCAGTTCTGAAAATTTATGGGTTTATTTTAAAAGAATAAGAGGCAGAAATCCATTTTAATGGGCATTGTCATAGAAGAGTGGAACAGAATACAAGCGAATGTATGTAGTAAACTTGCAAGGAACAATAAAAAACGATTAAAGACAATAATCGAGAATAAATTTTGCATAATTGATTATTGAGCCAAGAGGGTCAATAATTTTATCCTATGTTAAATGTTTGTTTGATGCTTTTTGGTATTATAGTTTGACATTAAAATAAAGTTTTTTTTTTTTGTGGGCATAACTGTACATTCTTTCAAATCCATTATCTCATCACATGCAATAAATGCACATGAGCTTTCCATGAAAATTTGAGGGATTACAACTTTATTCATAATTATGAGCCGGGGACAAATAATTCTGATACCAACTTTATATGATAAAATAAGAATAAAGGAAAGAAAATTTCATAAAACATTGTCGTGTATACACTTATATAAACTCGATGTTGCATATAAAGTCGAAAATGCAAGACGTTGAATAACCGTAAATTACAACGTACAAGTCGAGTTTTCAAGCCTAAAAACCCTTTTTGAGTCACTGGCAGCCTGTTGTATGTTTGAGGATCGGCCTATATGGCAAGAGTTTTTCTGTAAAGGTTAAAATTCATGCAGAAATTTCACAAGTCGACTTCAAGAGTTAGGCCTATACTTACCGTATAGGTCGACTCCCAAACACAAATTTCGGGGCCCGCACTATACATTATGTCGGATTATACACGAGTATAGACGGTACAAGCAATAAAAAATGAAAGAAAGAAAAAGAATGAGAATGAAGGACAAAAATAAAAGGTAGCAATAGTAAAGGTGAAAAATAGAGCGGAAGAAAATGATAAAAGAATGAAACAAATATCTAGTAAAGTATCTAAGAAGGAAAAATGGTAGAGGTGAAGAAAGAAGAAATTTGGAGGAATAAAATGGAAGAAAGATCTAAAAATAAAAGCCGCGAAAAGGGAAAATAGGAAGAAAATAATAAAGGACGAAACAGAAAGAAAGAAAGAAAGAAAGAAAGAAAGAAAGAAAGAAAGAAAGAAAGAAAGAAAGAAAGAATAAAATGAAAGGAAGAAAATACATGGACAGCTGACATTAACAAATTTAGTTAAAACTTAACGCAATGCTGCGCACATTGGGCTACCTTCATAAAAACCTGATCCATTTGTGGACTAGGGTATCAAGTTCTGGCAACTGTGAATAAATCGCTCCTAATATCTCCATCAACAATCACCAAAAATTAGTGAGATGTTTTAAATAAAAGAAAAAAAAAAACGTAAACACGAATGAGAAATAAGGAAGACAAGAAGAATAAAGATAAAAACGAATTGACTAACGTAAATTTGAATCATGTGTTTTTCTTTAGAGCTTCATTTAAATTTATCATAGACTTGTTCAACACGTCCATCTGCGAAGAAAGTTTATGCAGAGCTTTCTCGATAACATCGACTCTCTGTAGAATGTCTTTCTGGAAGAAAACGTTTTCTTTATTCTGATTAGTCAGCTCTGTAAGAGAAATATCCAGTTCAGCCATCCCGACAGCTGACTCTTTAATCTGAGAGGCCATCACAGCCGTCTCCTTCATCACACGAACGGCCCGAAGGAATTTGCGTCGATGTGAAATCATCAGAGGGTCGGCTTCTAGATAACCCTTTTTGCGTAGTTTCCAAAGTCTGACAGCTTGTTTCATCACATCAGCTGCCGCGTGTTTACGACTTTGTTCCAATCGAACACGTCTGATAAAGGAATATATGTATTTTTCGGGTCGGGTCTGTTCAAGTTTTCTGGCTAAAACTGCTACCCACAAAGCCACAATTCCAACTCCTGACAGACCAGTCACTATAGAAATAATGCGGCCACAGGTACTAACCGGGACCAGATCACCATAGCCGACGGTAAGAAAAGTTACAGCAATCACCCACATGGACTGAGTTGTTGCTGATTGGTCACTTTTATTAGAAGCGAATTTTTCACAGGTGTGCATCGCCCAGGATGCTAATACAAAAATGGTGAGCATGATTAAACTCAAGACCCAGGCGGGGTGGGTGGACATTAGAGCTCTGAAAACGAACTGGACATTGATGGTCACTTTGCTTAGAGCGCTGAAGCTGTGAAGTGCAGAATCGATAAGGATGTTACTGTGAACAACGGCCATTCGACCAATAAGATAAAAGCGACAGAACATCATCAGAGAGAGTATAACATTGACGGGAACTTCACTGTTATAAGAACCTTCATGGTTATCGTGATCTCCAGGGTCATAGTTCTGATTCGACTGGGTAACAGCAGTTTTGAGTTTGGAATTTGTAGTATTAAATCCATTTATCTAAAAAAGAAGAATAGGAAAAAATAGAAAGTATAAAGTTTTTCTGAAAGCGTTTTTGTCATTATATATTTTAATGACCTTTTCACATTGAAAAAGAAATAGAATATCTTGAGTGTAGATTCTTGAGACTATGTAATGTAATAATATATCAAAATTTAATAAAATTCTATCTGTATATGTATAATTCTTATGTGTTAGTGTATCACAATTCTAGTTGGTCTATGCAGGATTCGGTTGATAATATGTATTCGTGTGTTATACACACGAATACTGTTTGGCAGGATAGATACACAATATGGCTGCTTAACCAGTGAAAAACAAACAACACAAAAATAACAATACCAGAATTTTCTTTTCTCCTCCGTATTTCATTTTCTGATGAAGCTTAAATAAAAGCGAAACATTTGTTCCTTATCCCTATCTATCTATCTATCTATCTATCTATCTATCTATCTATCTATCTATCTATCTATCCTATTACCAGCCAGCACATTCGAGAAAGTTAATATAAAATGTGCTTTTCTTTATTAAGTCGCTTGAATGCGTTGGCCGGTAGAGGTAATTTACAACAAACGCAACAACAGGGTGTCGACACAAAAACGACTAAAAATAACGTTGAGAGTAATAGGAAATACTATCAGATTAAAAAAAATCCATTAATTTCTTAGAAATTACTTTATATATAGAACGTTCGCTTTCCGATCATGAGACTTGGATTCAAATGTCACCATCGTCGATTTGTCAGGAAGGTAATTTCTTGATAATATTGGTCTGCAGAGACGATCTCAGCGTGCAGAATCATTGGAAAGTGCCCCAAAACCACCCATCTGGGTTAACCCAAGGTTTGTGAGGGAAATTTTGTAGACGGATTTCTTTATCGATGCTAGCACAAAGACACAAATCCTCGTGACCGAGGGTTTGACCGTACAAGCCTTATCCAAACTGCTGATCATGCCAGATGATACGCTTTCTTCTAGAAACTGTGACTAAGGACCGCTCAGCATAGTTACACTGTATCCACAGGTAGGCTCTGTGGGTGGTGAAAAAACACAAATCTGCCTGAGCAGGCGTCTGTAACAGGGATTGGCTAACCGCATTAGTAAACAGGCATAATCGGATACAACACACACACACCCACACACACGCACGCGCGCGCACCCACACCCACATACACGCACGCGCACGCGCGCGCACACACACACATATATATATATGTATATATGCATGATCTTTATTTACGATTACGAGAGATTTAATAATAGAAGCACACAAAATAAACAATAGTTCTCAATAGTCTCCTTCTTTTTCAGTCGTTGTATTTCATCTTTAATTGAGGTTATGTATACCTACATTGAGAATCTTTTTAGCTACTCTCTTAGCTGTGTAAGTTGCCTCTTTCAACTTGTCATCACGGAAGAACTGCTGTTTTGGAAAGTGAAATCCGTATTGTGCAACACCAAAAACTTTTGGCCAGTTAACAACTTTTGCTTCGTGAACTCCGTCAGAATTTGGGGTACCTACTTTGAAAAGAACTTTACTACATTAAACTGCAGGAATTATCACCGGAAAGCGTTCACAGAGTTTTGAAATAGCGATTCTTCTGTCAGCTGTAATGAGAGCCTAAAATATTTGGCCTTATCTTTACCGACAGCAGCAGTTGATCTGCCATTGCGGGGCGTGTTACCATGTTACTACGTTTAAGTTCTCATTTCTTTCATTGACATTAACTCTACTTACCAATCGTCTTACTGCTATTACACCAAGTGCTACCATTTCATAAACATTTCCTAACAACTCATTTGAAGCAGAAATACTTTCCACAAAGAACAGTTCTATCACAGGCCTTTGAGGCCTAGAGAGGTAAACATTTCGAAAGAGGATTATAGATAGTAAAAGCGAAGATGTCTGTGTGTACATGTATGGGCCCTATTCTTGGACATAGTTTGGTTCTAATTTTCACCAACGACCTTCTCGATGTCATCAGTTCTCAACACGGTATCCGTGCTGATGACAACTATTTACTCCTGTCCCAATGACAAGTTTGATAGATTCATAAGGTCAAATTGGTAGCTGATCTCAAAAGGGGACTTCAATCCATTTTAACTGTGCCAAGAAATGGCTTGTTAATTTTAAAGGGCACAAAACGAAACTGATCTCTTTTAATTGTCTTAGAGAACCTTTTTATGTCTTTCATGAGCATGGCTGATGCTAACCTCCAGGAGGGTGACTTTGCGCCTTCTCGAGGTAATGTTTTTATGTGGGGCCAAAGTTGGGACCACAGAAGTAAAACACGGAACACGGATTAGATGTAAGAAAGATATATTAACAACAGGTTACAGAGATAGGGTAAGCGGAGCTTACTATATGTTAGTGTCCAACACTGGTAGTCGTACTAGACTCTCACTGTCACTCTATCTCTCAGTGTAGAGTGTTGTGTCGCCTACTTAATATAGACCTGGAAGAGTCTATTGTGTAGGTAGTTCCGGTCTCACAATACCCCCCTTCCAAGAGTTTTCTTTTTGAAAAGGAGAAAAAAAATAAAACTGTTAATACTTTTTCCTCTTGGGATTTACGTCGAGCGGTTGAGTAAATTTCCTTTTCCTTCCTGAGCGTCGCACTTCAGGAGAGACTTGGGGCATGTCGAGATCCAACTAGAGATCTTGATGCGAGAGCCACAGCTTTTCGTGAACCAGCTGGCAGTTTATGTCAAATGCAAGCACCAATGTCGTACGAGCTTGCATCACTTGCGACTATGATGTCGAGACTAGGGTCGTAATGGGTGAGGGAGAGGTCTGAAGTAAGAGTTTTCTTGATCTTCTTGAATGCGTCTTGGCATTCCGGGGTCCATGACCATGGTTTATCCTTTTTTAAAAGTTGGTTGAGAGGCCCTCTCAAATTTTGCATGTTCTTAATGAACCCTTGGTAAAAGTTAGCTAGGCCGCGGAAGCTTTGTAACGCTTGAACGTTATCTGGGGCCGGCATGTTTCTGATCGCGTTGGCTCGTATTTGATTGGACTTCTTTTTTACGTAGACCGTAGGTGCTGCCCACTCGCTGAAATCTGTTTTTGACAGCATACCTGCTTGTTCGAGTCTATCTAACTCTTTGTTGATTTGCTCTAGAGCAGCGAAAGGGACATTCCGTTTCTTTTTTAATACCGGTTGTGCACCGTCCTTCACCTCAAACTTAGCTTTCATTTTAGTACATTTCCCAAGGCCGCTAGAAAAAACCTGGGGAAATTGTTGAGTTCCTTTTTAAGATTTACCAAATTGGACGTTGTACTTTGTATCTTACGACAAAATGTACTCATTGGGCAATCCCAAAGATTGAATTTTTCTATCCAATCAGTTCCAAATAAGTTATCTGAAGTTTTCAATACATAGGTTTTGAGCTTTTTGGTAACTCCATTTAGTGTTACTGTAAGTATTACCTCGCCTAAAATGTTAATCTTTTCGCCAGTTACGAATTTTGCTGTTTTATCCGTTTTTAATAAGGTCGGCTTGTTTAATTTTCGCCAAGTACGCTAGTTAATGGTTGAAATATCGGAACTCGAGTCAAGCTGGAATTTAATGGAATTATTAAAAAATATCCACAGTTACATATTTCCTTAAATTCGTATCAACAATATCGTCAGATTGAGCTTGCCTAATTTTATTTTTGGGTTTTCTCGTTCTGTTGGCGTACCAGCACAAAGTTAAAGTATGCCCACTTTTGTTGCAATTTTTGCAATATTTTTTGTTCTTAACTGGACAGAATTTCATCCAATGCCATTTACCACAATGGTAACATGGTCCGGGCGGTTTCTTTAACCTATTTGGGATTTGGTTACTGCGTAATTTAGGACATGAGATTTGCCTTTTGTCTTTTTGAGGGGAATAGGAGGTAGACTTGCTTCTGATTTTATTAATCTGAGTCACACCTGATTCCTCGATAGTGTTTGAGTCACGCTTTACAGATATTACTCTTTGACAGTCCTCTGCCTGTTTTTGGAGAGTCAATCCTTGTTCGTTGTCAAGCTTGTTCAGTACTCGTCATCTGACTTCGGCGTCTTCTGCTGATACTAGACCTTGTGCGAAAATTAAGCACTTGAAATCATCGGCAGTCAGTTCGGCTAGTTTAAAATCATTACAGGGCTTGTTTACCGATGCTGCAAACGTTAGGAAATCTTGCTGGTTGTCTTTGACTGTGTTCAGGCATTTCCAACGTTTGTGGAACAAGGTTGTGTTAGTCCCGAATAGTTCCGACAGGAGCTTAATAGTCTCTGAAAAATCCAAGTCAGTGGTTTTCTTGGGTAGTATGAAGTCTACGAACCTACCATGTTCTGTAGTTCCCAGTTTTCTCAATAGAAAACGTACCTTTTTTTTACTGGGCCATTGTTCACAGTCTACGTTGAAAATATCTTCGTAGCGCCTGTAAAAAGCCTGGAACGTTTTGTCTTCCTCTGGTACGTATTCAAAGGTTTCCATTGAATTGTAGATTGTACTCTGGGAGAATATTATATCTTTTTCAGAGTTTGAGCCTTTTAATGCATTTACGAGTAATTCTTTAAGTTGTTTCTGTTGTAGTTCAGCATTCTGAAGCGTAATTTTTTGGAATTCCCTTTGTTGTTTATGTAATTCCAAAAATAGTTGTCTTTCTTTTGATTTTTGTTGCTGATCCAAATTTAGTTTTAACATTTGGGCAATTACTTTTTGCAAATCTTCCATATTTAAAAATGGCAGCGCTTTCTTTTTTTTTTTTTTTTGCTTTGAAACCTGTGTACTAAGAGGAGGTACACACAAAAAAATTTGGATAGGGTTTTTTTTTCTTTTACAGAAAAAAAATATGGACAGACAATTAGTTAAACAGAACTAATTATGTGTTTAGCTTTTTTGCAATTCCCGTGGTTCCGTTAATTTTAACGTAATTGAATAAATTTTCACCACACTTATGTATTTTTTTTTATAGAGGTACAAAAAGAAAAAAAAAAGAAGAAAACTCACCTCAGTGAATTTGAGGGGAG